TTGTCCAACCACCAACTGGGAATCACTGTAAATTTTGATATTTTTGAGCTCGAGATTGATGGCGAGTTCCATGGCTATGATAACGACCTCATACTCTGCTTCATTATTGGTCGCCTCAAATTCGAACCTGAGTGCACATTGAATGTTTATAAGCATGTCTGGGTTTATGATTATGACCCCTGCACCCGAGCCCGAGGAGTTTGATACACCATCGACGAAAATTTACCACACACCTATGGTCGAGCTCGAGCTACCATCTGGCCCCTGAGGCCTTGGGGTGAGTTCTGCAATGAAGTCAGCTAAGGCCCGAGCTTTAATAGATGAGCGGGGCTTGAACTCTATGTCAAATTCTCCGAGTTCAATTGCCCACCTCAGTATTCTTCTTGAGATGTCTGGTTTCTAAAGAATGTGTTTCAGAGGCTGATTGGTGAGCACTACAATAGGATGTGACTGAAAATATTGCCGAAGTTTTCGTGCTGCCACTATCAGTGCAAGGGCAAGTTGTTCTGCCGAAATGTATATTGTTTCTGCATTAAGTAGGACTTTACTTACGTAATAAATGGGTTGTTGGGCCCTGTTAACCTCCTTCGCCAAGACACTACTCACTGCATTATGAGATATAGCTAAGTATAAATACAGAGTATCTCCGGGCTCGGGTTTGGTGAGGATAAGAGGAGATTCCAATGTTTGCTTGAGCTCCTGAAAAGCCTTCTCGCACTCGTCATTCCATTTAAAGCAATGATTACCCCTGAGGGCTTTGAAGAAGGGAAAGCACCTGTCTGCTGCTCGGGCCATGAACCTGTTTAAGGCAACTATCCTGCCTGTCAACTTTTGAACCTCTTTCTTAGTCCTTGGTGATTCCATTGCTGCCAGAGCCTGAATCTTGTCGGGGTTGGCCTCAATCCCCCGATGAGTGATCATGAAACTCAGAAACTTTCCTGAAGGTACGTCGAATACACACTTCTCTAGGTTGAGCTTCATCTTATATTTTCGTAGGGTGACGAACACCTCCTCCAGGTCGGATATGTGTTCCTCTAACTTCTTACTCTTTACAACCATGTCGTCCACATAGGCATCGATGTTCTTCCCTATCAAATCGGCGAAGACTTTGTTGATGAGCCTCTAATATGTTGCCCCAGCATTTTTCAATCCAAATGGCATCACCCTATAGCAATATATGGCTGAATCAGCCATGAATGAAGTCTTCTCTTGGTCTTCTTTGGCCTTGAGGATTTGATGATATCCTGAGAATGCATCTAAGAAGCTGTACAGCTTATGTCCGGATGTGATATCCACAAGATTATCAATCCTAGGTAGTGGGTAGCTGTCCTTTGGGCATGCCTTATTCAAATCTGTGAAGTCAATATAGACCCTCCATTTACCACTGGCCTTTTTCACCAGAACAACATTAGCGAGCCAATCAGGGTATTGGACTTCTCTTATGAACCCCGCCCTTACCAATTTGCCGACCTCTTCTTGAATGACCACACGTCTTTTCGGCACAAACTGTTTTTTCCTTTGGTTAGCAGGTTTGGCCCCTGGGCTGACGGCTACTTGTGGGTCTATCCCTAGCATATCCTTCACCGTCCATGCAAAAACAACAATGTTGCGAGACAGACAATCGATAACTTCCTCCCGGAGGTTGGCCTTGAGATCCCGACCAATAGTGACGGCCTTCCCGTGCTTAAGCTCGACCACTTCCAACTCCTCAACGGGGGCCAATCTATCCTTTGGCTCGAGCTCGAGGTCTGCAAGTTGCATGACGTCAACACTCATTCCTCGGATGCTAGTAACATAGCACTGTCTAGCAGCTGTTTGGTCTCCTTGAACTACTCCGATACCATGACCTGTGGGGAACTTCATGGCCAAGTGGAAAGTTGACACAATAGCTTGGATTTTGTTTAGTAGGGGTCTTCCCAGAATGATGTAGTAGGCCATTGGGGTATTAACCACTTGGAATGGTGTGATCTCCATCACTTGTGTATTACCAATTCCTAATGTAAGCGAGAGCTCGACGACGCCTTCAGGGATAATGACTCTTCCACTAAATCCCTGTAGGGGAATTTTTACTGCTTTGAGCTGTTTGGGAGAGATTCCCATTTTGGCGAAAGCTTTCTGCGAGAGTATGTTTGCTACACTCCCATTATCAACCAGAATCCTCTTTACTTTGAAGTTAGCCACAACCGCAAAGACAACCAAGGCATCGTCATGAGGATATGATATTCCTTCCAAATCTCTTGCACCAAAAGTGATGTCTTTAACTTCATCACTGGATTTTCTTAGGGTATGAGCATGTTGGCGGGAATATTGCTCTCGCCCACTACTTGTGTCTCTGCCGGATGCTATGCCCCCAACGATAATATTAATGGTTCCGGCAGTGGGTTGAGCACTACTTTCTGCCCCAGGCCCTTTCCAATTGTCACGGTCATTCCTTAGCTGTTTATCATGACCAATGTAATTCTTTAAAAATCTTCTTTTGATAAGGGCTTCAATTTCTCGCTGTAAAGTATGACAATCCTCTGTAGTATGCCCATGATCCCAGTAAAATTCGCAATACTTGCTCCTATCTCTTGTGTCAGGGGGCGACTTCATCCTTGAAGGCCACTTTAATTCTTTCATATCCTTAACCTCCATCAAGATGTTTGTCTTAGAGGTGTTCAACCGAGTGAAAGGTGCTAACGACGCCTCATTCCTACGCTTATCCCGGGGAAGCTCTTGCCGGGGGACGGAATCATGTTACCTCTTATTCTCGGTCTTTTCATGGGAAGGACCAGGTCTTTTTGGATTTAGTGTTTCCTCCATATTAATGTATTTTTCAGCTCGGGTGAGGAGCTCGGTCACTGTCTGAGGCGGGGTCTTTGATAAAGACATCTTGAAAGCTTCACATCTTATGGCGAAAGTGAGGGCGGAGACAGCTGCTGTGATGTGGAGGTTGGGTATCTGAAGCCTTTCCTTGTTGAACCTTGTCATAAATCCTCGTAGGGTTTCAGTTGGTCCCTAATGAAGTTGCATGAGAGAGGCCGCGGTCTTCCTGATTCGTTTGCTACTTGCAAAGAAGGTTGAGAACTTATCAGCCAAATCTGAGAATGAAGCTATGGAGTTGGGCTCCAATGTCGAGAACCAATCCCTAGCTGCATCAGTTAGCATTTGTGGAAAGGCTTTGCACATAACCTGATCCGGCGCAACTTGCAAGTTCATGACATCGGTGTATACATTGAGATAGTTGATTGGGTCGGTCGTCCCATCATACTCTTTAATGCGAGGATATTTGAATCTGTCGGGCAAGGAATATGACAATATCTCTGGTGTGAATGGAGTGTTAGGGGTGAAACCTGTTGGCCCCCGAGCATTCCATTGCAGGCCAGCTGTAATTCCTTCTTGAATGATCCGGGCAATTTCACCGGAATCCATGGCGATTGATATTGTGAATACCCAAGGTTCCTACTCCGCCATTTGCGAGGTTTGGTGGTCGTGCTCAAGCATCAGCCATAAAACCGCCTTGCTCTACCTACGCTGGCGACGGATATGAATTTCTCTGACTTAACAATTGCATGAGCGTGGCCACCTGCTGACGGAGCTCTTCAAAGGCTTCGATTGTAAAGACCGCTGGCATAGGTGCGGGCACTCCTGAGGATTCTTCATGAGGAGCCAGTTGATCTTCGGCAGGATGAGGGATGGGAGCAGATGAGCTTGTGGAAGGGATACCTGATCCTGTGTTAACCATGGCTTTTGGTAGCGTTTCCCACAGACGGCGCCAATGATGCTACAAAAAATCGTACCTGCAGATTTCCCGAGCTTGATGATTTGGATTGAGCACGATCATAGTCTTCCAGTACCTGAAACAAAGGCAACGAAGTATATTCTCGTCGCCCCTCCGATATTTAAGTCAGAAAGGGAATTATATGCGTGAGGCTATAAACTGGAGAATAATGAAAAACGTACCTGAATAATGGCTCAAGGTTTTGTATTTATAGTAGTAAGCGACATTCTCCTAGTGAGACTCAACTAGCTGGGTATCCTTATCTGTTGGAGTCCTGTACAGTTAAGGAGTTGGTCAAATACCATAATTATATGTGGGATAGAATTCTTGCGGGAGTCAAGTATATGGTTGAGTTAGAGTCCTAATTGCATAGGAGTTCTAAAAGGTCAATAATCGTAGATTGTGAGTGGAGGGTATGCTCGAGCACAAGAATCGCAATATGTAAAGCAGCAAGACAGTGAGTGCTCGAGAATAACCCTCGGGGTGAGCATATGCTCGAGCACTCCATATATAGAATTTGCAAGTTTATCCAAGATTTGTGGTCGAGATAAAATGATCTAGCATTCATGTATATCATAAAAGGGTAGCATAATCCTCAGGATAATATTGTGGTCGTGTTATCCGGAATGTCAGTATCACACGTAAATCGAAATTTTTTTCTTCTTCTTGAACCACTCTTTTGTCCAAAAAAAAAACACTTTCTACCCACTTTCATTTCCAAAAAATGGGGGCCAAATGCGAGGTAATTGGGCGTGGCTCCTCTCCTTCTGTGAGGGGAGTGTACATTAAAGCTCGGTGTACAAGGGACTTTATATTCTAATAAAGTTTGAACAACAAATTCATATGTTATATTCATGTCACCAACTTTAAATATGAACAAGAGGAGGTAGAATTTTTCGTATAACATACTAACTTGTTAGAGTTAGCATGTAAATCGAAGTTTATGGATCTTTGATACTTGAAGATCGAACATTTTGCCCCTAAGGAAGAAATAAAAAATTTCTTTTATCTTCTTGTCACGCAGAGCAAGAGGTCTCTCGTCAACTTTTGTAGCGCAATTGTACCTCCAATTCACCCCGCTGTACAAATTTTCAATTTCCTTTAATTATTCTCCTAAAAAATAGAAATGACGCCTCAAAATGGAAATTACGTGATTCCCCCAAACACTCCTTCCAGGACCTACCTTCACAAGCTGTCCCTCCTTCGTCCCCAACTAATAAACTACACCCAAACATCAGTCATCACTATCAACGGCTGAGGTTTGATCTCATCGTATTTATGTACACCGTATGTAGTGTAATATATCCTTCAAACCCGTTAAACCCCACTCCTACCATAAGTCTCTCTTCATTGCACACATTTTTCTCCCACCGTCGCTGGTTATTCTCTCTAGTGTGACTCTCTTCACTCGACTACTAAAATGGGTAATTTTCGTTTTTGTTTATTGTAATGTAATTGATTGATATTTTTGTTAGTTATCCGTTGAATTGTTTTCCGTTTGTGTTTTTACAGGCAAGATTAAGATTGGAATCAACGGTAATAGATCTGATCTAAATTATTGCTTTGGTTTTCTAAATATTTTTTATTTCACGGAGTTTGGTAAATTTTGTTTGATTATTTGAAGGATTTGGAAGAATTGGCCGATTGGTAGCTAGAGTTGCTTTGCAGAGAGATGATGTTGAGCTTGTTGCAGTCAACGATCCGTTTATCACCGTTGATTATATGGTATGTTTTGCATTTTCACTCGTTTTTCCAGTCTTATTGTACTCTTTGGGGGGTTTTAGTTTGGGATCACGTGTTCTGGATCTGTTGCTTAAGTGATTTTTTCTGACAAATCATCCTATTAGTGCTTTGTTCGCATGATTTAGGTATAATTGTTAAATACATCATTTTGCTTTATGTTGCAGTGTGTAATCACTTAGCAGGTTTATTTGAGAGTTTGACCTCCCCCCGTTAATTATTTATCGTATATTTGTGGAATGAGTTTGTGGTGATGCTATAATTTGTGCAATTGTTGCAGACATACATGTTTAAGTATGACAGTGTTCACGGTCAATGGAAGCACCATGAACTAAAGGTCAAGGATGATAAGACCCTTTCATTCGGCGAGAAGAGTGTAACTGTTTTTGGCATTAGGTACTCATATGTAGCTTTATATGACCTTTTTTCTTGATTGCCTCGTGTGTGCATGTGGATCCTGGGCTAGTTATTGATATCTTTCCACATTGTATTTAATTTGAAGGAACCCAGAAGAGATTCCATGGGCCGAGACTGGTGCTGAATACATTGTGGAGTCAACTGGAGTGTTCACTGACAAGGACAAGGCTGCAGCCCATCTGAAGGTTTGGGATCTCTGAATAATCATATTTTCCTATTATTTTTTTGTTCCAAAATATTTAGCTATTGCTTTAGATGGTACCTGAAAGAACACGTGAATGTAGGTGGAAAAAAAAAAATTCTGGCTGTAGGTTTATATTATTCATAGTTATTTGCTGCACAGTTCTGTTAAATGATTTTATTTTGTTATTTTGCATCACCAATATGATTCAGTAGCTTTGTTTATATATGTTATGCATTTTTCTGCTCGTGTGCTCTGGTAGTCCAGCCATTAATGCTGTTTATGAAGTCATTGATAAATATGAGTGACTGCAAACTAGATTTAGTACTTGTTTGGTAAAGCATTTGTTTGCTAAAAAGCTCGTCAAACTTCATTTTTTTACTACAAATTTCATTGTACCTGCAACTTTTATCCATTTTCATCCCATGTTTCATGGGACCCATTCACTAAAAACTCATTTTTCCCCAAACTCATTTTCAACCACATGTTCTTCCAGCAAATAATTTTACATGTAAATCAAAATTTCTTTCCTACTTTTTAGCCACTCATTTTCCAAAAATTCACTATTACAAAATCTATTCTACAAAAAAATGGGGCTCAAACAGGGGCTTAGGTATTAGTTGAATTGTTTTGAGTCGAAGCATTATGTTAGTTTCTAGGTGACAGTTTTTAGTTGAAATAATCAAAATTTTTAATCTCAATTTAAAAATAGAGATACAAAAACTTGTGAGGACTGAAATTTGTTGAGACCTGAAATGGAAATTTGCAATTTTTAAACTTTAAGCAGTTCCGGCATTGTTACTCTTATCTTGTGTTATAATAATTCCCATTAATTTCTTGAATTAGGGCGGTGCAAAGAAAGTCATTATTTCTGCACCAAGCAAGGATGCACCCATGTTTGTTGTGGGGGTCAATGAGAAGGAATACAAGCCCGAACTCAACATTGTTTCCAATGCTAGCTGTACCACCAACTGCCTTGCTCCCTTGGCCAAGGTTTGCAGCTACTGTTGTAAACTCATGTATTCATGTGTATGTTCTGTAATGACTTCTTAAATTTTCAGGTTATTCACGATAGGTTTGGAATTGTTGAGGGGCTTATGACCACAGTCCACTCTATCAAGGTAGGTTAAGTTATTTATTTTGTTTGGCATTCGAAACTGAGCCAGTGCTGATGGTGCGTCTTCCTGTTATTTAGCAACTCAAAAAACTGTTGATGGACCATCTTCCAAGGACTGGAGGGGTGGAAGAGCTGCTTCATTCAACATCATTCCCAGCAGCACAGGAGCTGCCAAGGTATTAAATTCTTTGAAAGTGGTACAAATCTGTGTACTACTCTCATTGATGGAAGATTGAGCTTGTATTGCAGTACTTCGTTTCCTTCAATTTAGCTCAGCGTTCTCATTAATTATTTTCTCCGGATAACTGCTGCCTCTTTTCTTTGAAGGCTGTTGGAAAAGTTCTTCCTGCACTGAATGGAAAGCTGACTGGAATGGCCTTCCGTGTGCCTACTATTGATGTCTCCGTGGTTGATCTCACTGTGAGGTTGGAGAAAGAGGCTACCTATGATGAAATTAAGGCTGCCATCAGGTAAGGATGCATGGTTTTTCAATTTATGTCTTTAAGAAAATGTTGGTGCTTATTTCTGTGGTGCTGTATCAAGTGGCACTTAACCCTCAAAACTAGTGGGATTGATTGCTCTGTTGCAATTGCAGGTCTAGCATCTTTGATGCCAAGGCAGGAATTGCTTTGAGTAAGAACTTTGTCAAACTAGTTTCGTGGTATGACAATGAATGGGGTTACAGGTAAGTTCGGTGAATCTTTTTTGTGTACCTACACCGTTTGGAAGAAGCCTAGTTGAGTTTTCTTGTATATCTTTGTGTCTAATTTCTATTTCATTGCTGCAGCTCACGTGTCGTCGACTTGATCAAGCACATGGCTTCCACTCAGTAATATATATGAGATGCTGCACAATGGTTTTGCATGACTCTTCATGGTCACTTATTCTAAAGAAGTAAGTTTAAAACTAGTCACAATGAAGAGAGCAGGAGAGCGTGCAGTTTGTTGCTGCGTTTTGCATGTTTTGGTTTTAATGGGATGTCTAAAGGATTCTTGTGGCTTGCAATTTTTCAAGCATCTCTTATATGCAGTTTTGTATTGAAAATAACGTTGAACTATTTTCTATTTTGTGGAATGTCCAATGCTTTAATAATGTTATACTTTTCTCTGTAGCCCTAGATAGTTCATATGGTTGTGGACTTGCATATCTGCCCTGCAGCTTTTGTACTTATCCTTTTGTGGATCAAGTTGTCTTATTAAGATATGTGGTTGTGAATTAGCAAGTGGTATGCAAGCAAAATTCTCTGCCTGCAATAATTACGACATAAGGACAGTTTAAGTGATTCTATACTTCCAACTTGTTGATTATGGGAATATGGTGCTCGTATGCCAACACTAGTGCGGCCAAAGCAACCATATTATCTATATCATCATTCTTAGGGAAAATGTGGTTTAAGTAGGAAGGAAAAGGCAGAAGTGCATTTTGGGAAGAATGAGAAGGAAAAGGAGAGGAATAGAGGATTTTCTTGAGTGGAATGATGAACATTTGATACTTGCCCGTATTTGCATAAAGTTTGAAGGTCCTTGGCCTTGCCTACTCTTAAGCTTGAGTCTGTCTTTGAGAAAGACCGTTCACACTTGATAATTGCTACCGGTTGGTTGGATCTTGTTGACTTCGCATTGTTCACCTGATAATTGCTACCAGTTGTTTGGATCTCATTGTCCATTCATTTGAAGAAAATAAAACGTGAACTAACCAAACAAGCAATTTCTCTGCACCAAGAAATAGAGAAAATTAATAAGGAAATTGTGCTTTATGTCAATGTCTGAAATCATGACACTAACTGCTGGATCACCAAGAATGGAACTGGTTGATCAATCAATTTCTCCTCCTTCCGGATATTTGAAGTATCTGAGATGCTTTGATATTCAATGTCTTTCTGGATCACCGTCCTGTATAATCCAAGTTACTCAGTGGATTTCCCGTCGCCTGAAATTTTGAACTGTCAAGGTCATTTTCAGAACATTTAGGCTTGTCTCCTATCATGCTCTGGAAGACCTCATCTGGTGCAGCTCAGAACATTTCTAAAGCTTCAATAAACAGGCTATTCTCGTTCATTTCTGACGGTTTTCTCTATCTGTTAAGAACACAATGTCAAGTAATAAACGCGGGAATGTTTAAGTTCCACATGATTTTTGCCACTTTGAGAAATTCTCTAATTTAACCTTCTTCGGAGCCTGGCCAGCTGCTTTACTTTCAAGTTCTATTTTCCTTTTGGATTCTGTTTCAGCTTTCTTCGAGCAAGCAGATGAGATTTCTGTGAGCGTGCTTAAGTTTGAATTATCGTTGTATGGTAAAATTAAACAGAAACAAATAAACATGGCAATTCCCAGCTCAAAGCAATGCGCATTAGCCCAATACAGTAATATTTTCAAGAAACTCAGGACCTTGTTGACTCCACCTTTCAAGTTTCATCCTATCAGTACAGGGCTCATACGGTATAGCATACGTATGGAGCCATTGTCGAGTATGGTATATCTTGGCAAGAATTTGAAGTGAGGCCTTTTTTGAGTTTTTGGCCGTGAAACTTTTCCATTGCTCCATTTGTTACTCAACGGGAGGGCAATGCAATTAAAGCAAGCTAAACTTCACTCATAAATCCAAGTTCAACACGCCTTTTCAAGACCATTCTCTTGGGCTTTCGATTATAATATCGGCACATCGGCCTCAAAAAGCAAGCGGCACATTGAAAACTTGAGGAGAGACTGGCCTTTCAGGTGAAGCACTGTCCCCTAATTATAACACTATGCTGGTACGACGCTAACTAATACCACACATTTTTTTGTTGCTTTTCATTGCTCACCCCTTTGACGACAATTTAACATCTTGTTTGGAGGAGCTGAATCCTTGTCCACGTCTGATTCGTCATCAGAACTTCCTGAGTCCGAATCTGAGTATCAAAAGATAAGATGATATTAAATTAATATATAATTGCAATAATTCATTGTTAGTCAAGTTAGATTGCCATGATCACAAATGATTAAGACAATGACCAAGAAATAAAACTGATACACCCCAACCAACACACCTCCAGGGGCTTGCATGGAGAAAATGACCTAGGGATGTCAATCTAACTCGTCGACTCGAGCGGCCAGTAAAAAGTCTCAATGGGTTCGGCTTGTGACTCGATGGAACCAAGCCTCTTTTTCGGGTGATGGCTCGAGCTCAAGTTGGCCCGTGTGGCTCAATCGGCCCGCCTGGTTGGCCCAAATGTGTCCGGTGTTGTAGGCTCGACTGCCGGGCTGAAGCGACCTGCTTTAGGCAGGCAGCTACGCAGCAACTGCTACCTGAAACAGTTGCTTGCAGGCAGCTGCCTGTCGTTTGCCTTTAAAAAAAAATAAATAAATAAATTCGAACGAGCCAGCCCTCAATATTTCAACCCAGCTTTGACTCGGTTCGGACAAAAAAAGTTGTTGTGTTTTGCCCAAGCCGCAATCACCAGCTCACGATCCAACTCGATCTGGCTCATTTACTTCCTTAAAATGACCAATAACTCGTGTACGGTTCAGATATTTTGGATAAAGTTCATGTACCATTTACGTAATTAAATAGTCAAATACTGATCGCGTTGTTGTCACATAAACACTTCATTTGGGAATTTATTATTTCGTTAGGTTCAATTAAAAACCATACAAATTTAATTATTGACTCCGATCATCATTTCTTTTGGGTATTACCAAAAACTTTGTTAATCACGCTAAAGCAGAGCACCCAATTGTGAATTGTGGCTCTCTTTTTTTTTTTTTTATTGTAACCTTTTATAGTCGATGAAATTAGGAGGGGGAAGGATGGATGGATAGTATAGACGATTTAAAAGATATAATCGACCGAACATTAGGGCATGAGCTTTCATGTAGATTTTGATACAAAATTAAGATCCCGTATGATTTTGGTACAAGAAATAAAAACACTTTTATATTGATCGATCAAAAACTCGAGTACAGCCTATTTGGTGGTGGGTGAAAAAAAAAAGGGTTTTTAGTCCCTATCTAAAAGTTAAGCAAAAAACCAACATCTAGTCTTGAACCTATCCGTAAATTTAAATCTTTTCCTTATTTTTTAATCTCATATTTTCCATCAATCTACTATTTTAAAATGCATTATTAGAAAATAATGGGGCTACACAGCCTCCTAAGCAGGCAAACTTCTACGACAAACTGCCCTCTTGAACCGTTTCCTATCAATCTTTAAGCAAATAATATATGCGTCACAGTTGGCCAACAAAAGGATCAAACTTCAAAAACCGATTTCGTACTCTCATTCAAAATCCAAAGAGAAAAAACGAAACAATTCACAAGGGTTAATTTGCCGTAATAGCATCACAAGTACCGTCTTCAAGAAGTGGATCACCAAAGTTAATCAGTAATGCTAGACGTATAGGGCGAAATATTTTTTTTTAATACAGGTCGGACCCACCAACCTGTCCAGTTGCCTCTAAGGCCCTTCTATGAATAGTGACATGTACTCCGGCATTTTTCAAAGTCGAAAGTTAATTAGCATTTATGAACCCAAAGATAGGGCAGCCTTTGCATCAAGTCTCCATGCAAAACCTCCACGCTCCATTCTCCACACATCACATGGCACCATGAGAGAAATCGTGGGATTTTTCACCACCTTCACCCAGCATGTGAAAGAGGCCAAACCCACGGGCAGCGCCACCCCCTTGTTTATCACCAACCACACCTCCTCCTCCTCCGCCGCCGCCGCCGCCTCACCTTGTACCATCTTCTTGTAGGCTAAATTCGTCCACTTCACCCTGTTCAGACCGTCCGATACGAACCCTGGACACGTGTCGAGATAAAGATTCATCATTCTCTCCTCGTCCGTATGCCCTAGTCCGTAAACATCACAATGCTCCCACGCGTCAGTTATGCATTCAACCTTCACCCATGATCCGACCACCGCCGGTGGAGGGTTCTCCACGCCGTGACCAACGTGTTTTTCTTCATTCCCAAAACTTAGCCATAGAGGTGAACTCTGTGGCTCCCTTTTGGAGCTTTCCTTCACATCAGGGGTCTCCGGCAATAACAGCAGCGTCACCACCGTGTCACCTCCGGAAATTGACTCGTTGGAGGCTGTTCTACCATTGACCTCGCTATCTTCAGATGAAGCCTTCCTTTTTCTCATGGTACATCTGTTCTTTGCGTTACTTGCACTATAATTTTCACACGGTCTTTTTCCAATCTCAGCTTTAACGCTCAGATCGGCCTTTTCCGCTACGGCGGAGCTGCTTCCGCTGCCGCTGGAAAACGACCCAATTGCGGCAGCCGGCTTCGGCGCTATGGGCCGGAATCTCTGCATTATCCGGTCCATTTTCGACATGCCATACCCACTCACACTCCCAGCATGTCTTGCAATACAACACCCATCCCTTCCATCCATTCTCGCTCCAAATTTCTCACCACGTAGAGGAAATACACAACAGGAAGAAGAGTAACCTAAGCTTTATACAGAAAATGATAATGGAGAATGTGGGACACGCGTGAAGGGATCCGAACGTGTAAGAGAGGTAATTGGCTGGAGGAGTAGGAAACGTGGCGGAAGGACAAGGAGAAGCAGCATAAAGCGGCGAATAGGAGAAAAGTAAAGTCCGACCACCACCCAGTAACCAATCAGATTTTGTATAGTTGCAAGTACTGGATCCGAAAGCGGGACACGTAGGTCTACATGCATATTGTTTAAGTTCTAGAAAGTGGACACGTGGTCGAATAGTTGTCACCAATCCCTTCCAAGAGTAATCCTTAGATATTCTAAAGCCTTTGTTGTTGATTTAATTTAATTTTAATCATATAACAATGAGATTCACAATTTTTAATTCATACATTACATTAACTTTTTATCAAAATCGATTAAAAATTTTAATTTTATCTAAATTAAACAAGGGCTAAAATTGTTTAATTTGGTAACATCAATTTAATTTCAATTAATTGCTTGAATACCTTAAATGGCACTCACTTCTATGTGACCAATTTATTTTCTTATATTGCACATTCGGCACCATTAAAAGTTGGAAAATGATGAATACATTAAAATTTTATTCCGTGTCTAGTGTTATATGTATGTTTAACCAATTTAAAATATGATAATTAGGTCAATAAACAATAGTCGAATCAAATGGAATAAAAATTGGTTTTAAATTGATTTGATTTTAATTAATGAAGTATATTTCGACCACAAAAAATTGATTTTTTCATCAAAAGTTTTATTCGCGGTCTACAAAATTATGCTTGAATTCGTACCCATAATTTACTGTGAGAGGAATATTAAATATATGCTTTTGTATAATAAATTCCAATGAGCTTATTATTTCATTGATTTTTTTAACTAAAATTTAGATATCACAAAAACATTTTTACATCTTAGTTTTGGGTCTAATTCATATTGTATTTAAACACAATGATCAATGAAAATCAATAATATGTATATATTTTTTGGTCCTGAAAATTTTTGGATTTCTCGAAATCTAACAATGGAAGTCAAGTCTTCCTCAAATTAGAGCCTTTAAAAAAATAAAAATAAATTATCCTCATAGAAACGCTGTCGTATGTAAAATCATCCTTTTAGGTGCCAATTTAGACCGCACACTCTTCGAAAAATATTCTAAAACGCCTATAATTAGCCATTATATATGGAAAATGCTGTGTGTACACCTTGTGGTGTGCAAGGCGTACACACAGCTTTACACCCCCTTACATGGAGGAGGACCCATGAATATTTTATTGCATGTGAACCCCTCTCCATGTGAGGGGGGTTTAAGCCTATGTGTGCACAGCACAACCCATTTTATATATCTGTTTTTCATGCTCTATGGATGCAAGGAGCAGAAACAGAGATTTTTCTGTTAATCTATAATTCAAATCTTCCACAAGAAATAAGCTATTATTGATTTAAACAGTTGAAAACCAGCTCATAGCATTTATTATTGGTAATAGAAGTAGTACTCACAATACAGACATGGTGCTAGAATTGGAATAAAACATGTAACAAAGAGAGCCTTAAAACTACTGATTCCCATGGCGTACAAAGATTTCCTCGGATCAGACGAATGTTGGCCCTTGAGTACGCAGACAGATTGGAACTAAGAGCTTAACTACAAGACTCGCCAGTCGAGCAAAATGAAAAATTTAGAGCCTAGAGGATGATCCCTTGGGGTAGTGGTTGACAATATGATTATAGGCATCAAGGGTCAGAAAATCATCCAACATTGGTTTAGTGCATTGCCTGGTAAAAATCTTGCAAGCCTCCTTGTACATTCCTTTCTTAAATTTTTCTTGGCCAACTTCTCTCTCAATCCTAGTCATTTCGTCTTCAACTACTCGCCCGAAGAGCTCAAGAGTCACCTTCACACCAAGGCCATCTCCATCCAATTCAACTCCATATTTCAACCACTGCCAGTTCTGGACTCGGCTTATTTCAGCTGTGGCCGCATCCTCCATGAGGTTGTAAAGGGGAACGGAACCAGTTCCCGTGAGCCATGCTGCCAAGTACTGGATTCCGACCCTGGTGTTGTGACGGAGGCCTTCCATGGTTCGTACTCCTCTTGGCCTCTGAAGGAGGTCTTCTTCAGTCAAGTTAACCGCATCTTCACGCTTCACGGTGTGAATTTGGTTCGCCTTGTTGCCCATGCTGTTGGTGAAGACTTCCATGATGGCCGGGATCAGTCCCGGGTGGGCTGCCCATGTTCCATCATGCCCCGCCTTCACTTCTCTCAATTTGTCCTTCCTTACCAATTCCAAAGCTGCCTCGTTTGCCACTGGGTTGTCCCGGATAGGAATCTGAGCAGCCTGTTCAAGCAACACAAGTTGGAGCTTCGTTCAATAAGGTAATTTAGGAGAATCCTTGCGAGAATAGATCACAGTTTATTCGACATTTGAGACATATATTCCACTATTTGATTATTGTGACAAATTAGAGAGTTAGCACAAATTTATTGACTCGTAAAACTTGTATGACTTAGACGACAACCAACCATTCCTCCCATGGCATGCACGCCACGCTTATGACAGGTTCTGATGAGTAAATCGGAGTAACTTCTCATGAAGTGCTGAGTCATCCCCACTAGAACTCTATCGGGCAGAAGGCGATCCGGGTGGGCCTGGAAAGTCTTGACATAGCTGAATATATAATCCCATCTACCACAATTCAGACCAACAGAATGGTCTCTTAGCTCATACAGAATTTCATCCATTTGAAAAACGGCTGGAAGCGTTTCAATCAAAACAGTGGCTCTAATGCTTCCCTTCTCAATTCCAGACAATTTTTCGGCCCTCTCAAATACATTGTTCCAGATTTTTGCTTCCCTGTTATTAAAAAAAAAAAAAAAACACTCATCAAGTTACTCGAGAACAAAGTTTTAGAGCAAAATAACACTACCAACTACTGAATTACAAATCCTTGCCTCGAGTGTTCCATTTTCGGGAGATAGAAGAAAGGCCCGAAGCCTTCACCTTGAGTTCGGCGAAACGCCATGCAGTTGTGGAAAAAATAGAGACCGAAGTCCACAAGGCAACCGGTAGCTGGTTCGCCATCAATGAAGATGTGAGACTCGGGTAGGTGCCAGCCTCTTGGACGAACAAAAAGCTTAGCCGTCTGATCATTAAGCTTGTAAACCCGATTTCTAGCTTTGTCATGGAAGCTTATAGTCCTATTAACAGCATCCCTTAAGTTAACTTGTCCACCCATTAAGTTCTCCCAGCTTGGTGAGAGAGCATCTTCAAAATCAGCCTATGGAAAATTTAAATCGCATGACTCCATGGCTTTAGAACAATTGATTATTGTGATAAGTGAAATTTGAAATTTAAAGCTTAGCCAAATATACACTAATCAACAAATTCTGTATTCTACTCACCATGAAAACTTTGGCTCCAGAATTGAGTGCATTGATGATCATCTTCCTCCCCACAGGCCCTGTAATTTCCACCCTCCGATCGGCAACCGCCGGTGGCACGGCGGCACAAACCCATTCCCCTTCCCTTATGTATTTCGTAGCCGGATCAAACCCCGGTAAACCCCCATTATTGTATCTAATCTTAGCCTCCTTTCTGCACTCCAAAGCATACTTGATATGGTTCCTGAACTCACTCTGCAAATCAGCCACAAATTGCAGAGCATCCTTAGTCAAAATTTTTGCAAATTCTGCATCATATTTGCCCATAATGTCCACTCCCTCAGGCACATCATATGCCATGCCAATTTTTCTCTCTGTAGAGGAAGGTTCAAGAAAGCTTTCAAAACCCACCATTTTGTTGAGATTATTGTTCTTTTTCGAAGAAATTTGGAGTCTGGATTTGTGTAAAGGTAGAGAAACTACTTGAGAATTATCCAATATATAAAGGGGTTGGCTGGGTGGGGGAGAGGTTTTGGACAGATACAGAAAGTTTTATCCTTATGGTGTAAAAATAGAATAGAGAATGCATGGAATTATGTGCTTGGGATGATGCATGGGATTGAATTGTGGATTGGTTTTGAACATCGTGCCTACCTCGGGAGGTGCAGTTTGTTAGGATAGTGAAGCATTTTGATGTCATATCCCACGTTTGGCTAAGCTTAAAATTAAATTATAGATAGGGAAATTGCACCATTCCTCTTCGACTTTATCCAAACCTTTGCTTGAGCCCTATTTTATGTTCAAAATGCAATTTAAAATAGTAATTTGAAAAAAAATGTGCGGTTAAAAAATAAGATTTTTTTTTTTGAACATCGTGCCTACCTCGGGAGGTGCAGTTTGTTAGGATAGTGAAGCATTTTGATGTCATATCCCACGTTTGGCTAAGCTTAAAATTAAATTATAGATAGGGAAATTGCACCATTCCTCTTCGACTTTATCCAAACCTTTGCTTGAGCCCTATTTTATGTTCAAAATGCAATTTAAAATAGTAATTTGAAAAAAAATGTGCGGTTAAAAAATAAGATTTTTTTTTTAATTTACGTATAATATTATTTTATTGAAGAATATTTGGTTAAAAAGAAGAAGAAAAAGAAGTAGAAGAAATTGTTATCATTATCATGTGACTCACGAAAATATGTCTCACTTCAAATTTTTAAATATAGTCCAAATTATGTATGAAAATTAAGTGATTATTTCTCGAAGATTTAGACCGTTTTCGTTATTGTTTTCAAATGTAATGAATGTTTTAGACCAATTTACCTCTTTTTGAAACCTAAAGACCAACTTACTATACTAACAATAAATTAAATACTAATTGATGTAATTTTCCCTTTTAAGTAGATAAGCAATAATATTAATTTTTTTAATAACTAGTGTTGCATCTTTCTTTACACACATCAAAAATTAAAGGAACCAATTTGAATATGTCTTTGTGGATCAACGGGTATCAAGTAGTGCAAGATGTGAGTCCTTTCTAAGTGAAGATAACTTTAAGTCGGATTACTTGATTCTTATTTGATTTGTCACGGTTAAATTAACATTTAACACATAGCTCATGTTGTCTTTTTTAATATGTCAAAATAATTGTTGACCCGATGACCCGATGATTTTTTTGGGTTGACGTTCAGGTCGGATTTAAAACTGTGATCTTTTTTATTTTTTTGGATGTAATTGCAAGATTCAGCCTAATTTTCCCTCTTATGTAGCTTAATTTGTGATTATTGAACAACACATTGGCTAAATACAGATGTCCAATAAACATAAGTAAAATAAGTTTACCTGAGAAGAAGCTTTGTGCTGTGCATATTTCCATAGCATATTGGAGAGCAAGTGAAAGTCCATCAAATTTCAAGACCTAACAACGCTTTTTATCTGTCAAGAAACCGAACATTAGCCAGAATTTGCAAAAGAAACCAATATGGCTATAGAAAACACAACTGAACTTGCAAATGTGCAAGCAAAATACGAGGCCAGGGGACCTTTGCACATCAACAAGAGGCCATTTTACTCTATAAAGTTGGATTAGCATTACAATAACATTTATACAGATCAGTCTTACATAAAATCCTGTCTGAATATGTTAATTAAGAACATCAGTTGGTACTCGTTGGCTTTAAGCGAAGCCATAAACTGATAAACACAACAATACACGATTATTAATATTGATCACACTATTTTAGCTGCCCCCATTCAAATAGAGGGGGTTGGGGCGGGTGTATTGTGTCATCTTGTTGTGATTGTGATAGTCTTCCCGAGGACGAAGAAAACTAGTGAAAGCTCGATGAAGAAATCGTAGTAATGTGCATACGATCAATCATCCATCCAAAGATAGTGAATCCACCAGTATTCGACTGCACATAGGTAACTGCAAACCAAGAAAATTTGAGTAAGCCTCTGTTAAAGATAAACATTTAACATATAATAGTTCAACAGATAATTAAAAATTTTAAGGAAAACAAACGCAGCAAAAATCAGCTAGGACTAAAGCACTTGTGCCCTTGAACCAAGATATGTCAAAACTGAAACCACTGAACATCCTATCCGGAAAAAAAATCAGATAGATACCAATTCTAGGACTGTCGAGGTTTAAGAAGTTGTCAGACGAGACATGCATATGCTAACTTCGAGATCGTGTCGAGTTAGAACCACAAATATTGATTATAGTTGCTCGAGACTGGAAACAAGTTCTAGTGAAGAAAACAAAATACAATAACGATAATTATGTAACAAATAGGTATGCGCACCAAAGGCTTGTCTCTTCTGATATGATGACATGGAAGCTGTCAACTGCAAATTCATGGACAATTGCGCGTAATCACCAGACTCTAAATCACTTTCTGAATAATGCATAGATAATGGACGCACGGGATATGGAACATCAGAATTTCCACCACTATCTGAAACAGCTGAAAAGGAACCATCATTTGATTTGCAAGTAATCAATGCATGCCATCTACTAGCAATTGAACCAAGGCCTTGAGCTCTATGAGATATCTTTCCAGCTGCATTTAGACAGAGCAGAATCCCGACAAGCTGAACAATAGATAACACCTGCATATAGAGTAAATAGCATTTGAAGTTCTTATATGATAGATCAATAATTTGACAGACTGATGTTCATCCAAATTATTGTTGAAAATCTTGCGGATTGCTACATTTCTATCTACTATGGATAATTTTTCATAGCCATGTGGGCTAAGAAGCTAGAAAAAATCAAACAAATTCTCATCTTTAACCATATAAAAACAGTTGGTAATTACATTAAGTTTAGTCCACTCTCTAAGACCTTAAAGCCTTTACACAGGGTAATTCAACATGATACAAGAGTGAGCAAAAGTCCTAAGTTCAATTCTAGTTGTCACCCATTTATGAATATTGTGTGCAACTATTAGCCAATTGAAGGAAAAATGAATTTTTCTTGTATGTGAGGGGGCGTGTTTAAGACATAATTTAGATACATAAATGCAACCCCTGTCCATCAATTTAAGTTTATAGATGAAGTGATACAACAAATATTAAAGATTTCAGAAATCTAGTGAAGTAAACTAGTTTTTTCTACTCTTTCCACTCTTCCACATAATATACTTTCTTATCTTAGAGGGAGGAAAATGTATGATAATACTCTGTATTAACAATCTATCTGAGAAAGTAACCAGAGACGTACTGCAAAATCACCTCCATTGATGAAGTTTATGATCCCAAGGTTCCCTAATGTCTGCAATAGAGCAAAAAACTGACTAACTGTGACAACCAAGAATTCTAAAAGAAGAAATACCCGAAACCTGTGGCTTATTTTTGATAAATAAGAGGTTAAACGTATGTGCTCTTCGATGTAAACTGAAACATCCAAATCCCGTTCCAGTAGTTTCCCATAATTTTCGAAGTGGATCACTAGCAAATTGCCCACCAAGTGGAACAGGGCACAACCAGCTAAGAAGACTAGAGTCACATATGTATACGATACAATGCAAGCAAGCAACATCAAAGCCGAGCGCCACCAAGAATCATGGTGTAAATATACTGCACGAGTAATCTCACGAGCCACCTTTAATATAAGGCAAATAAAGACCCACGAAGCCAGTAAGCGGTAAAATGCCTGAAAAACAATCAGGAAAGTTAGATAAACTTCGGTCATAGTTTATAAAGCTAAACATGAGTAAATTTTTCAGCAAGGGATTGCCCAAAAACATGACAAGAAAAGTTACTCAACACCTCCAAATTGTACAGGTAACAGGACACAGCTAGAATTATCACGGGAAAAATCATTTGATGTCGTTTATATTTGTACCATTCAGTAGATTTAAAACTCGACGTTGAACTTCTGATTTAGTTTTGCAGCCTGTTATTGTAGAAAAAATATACTCAGATACATGAGAAAGAAATACTCTTTTATTATTATTTAGGGAGAGAAAAAAGGGGGGGAAAAAAGAAAAGAAAAGAAACAAAGGTACAATATGAAAATCTATTTAAAGAAAACCATTATGATAGGCATTTGGTTCCCCATGTGTACATCTCTCGGCAAGTAGTCTTCAATCTTTATGTCTCGAAAAAGCAAGAAACATAAAGAATGCTTCAAACACGAAAGTAAACGAATCCTTCAAAGAGAATCTGATACAAGAACCAGAACTATGAATAAGAAAACGACAGTTCCATCATCTACCAGAGCTGAATTTTAGTATCTTTAAATGTATTGAAAAAGTAAGAAACGTAAAGTATGCTTTCAAACACAAAAGTAAACGAATCCTTCTAGGAGAATCTGATACAAGAACCAGAACTATGGATAAGAAAATAGTAGTTCCATCATCTAACAGAGCTAAATTTCAGTAACAACTCCTGATGCAAGGCTTCACTAGTCACTAAAACACTTAAGGGCCTGCTTGGGCGAAGAGTTTCGCCGTACCGGTTATGAGCGTTTTTAAATTACCGCTTTTGAGCGTTTTTAAGCCAATCGGTTTTGAGGGGTTTTGGCAGCGGTTTACAAAACTGTACAACCTGGACATTTTATTATCCACCGATTCTGAAAAAATTTTAAAAGTATAAAATTACATATGTCTCTAGGTAAAATTTTCAATTTATAGTTTAAACTATTTTCCTCATGAGTGATATTTTACTTGTAGATAATTTTTTTTTACATATAAGTTAATATTTTTATAAGTGAATTTTCATTTTATTAGCAGTATTTTTATTTATAAAAAAGTTTTTTGACATAAAAGTGATTTTTTACTTATTACAAATCTTTAATTATAATGTAATTTTTCTTTCTTACAAATAATATTTTATTTATAAATATTTTTTAATTATTATTTAATTTTGTACTTATAAATAATTTTTGTTTACAAGTTATAGTTTTGTAGAAAATATGTTGATCGGAAATAATTATTTTATAAAAGGTAAAACTAGGAAGAAAATATGAGAAATGATCAAAACCCATCGGTCAAACTACCGATGGGTTTGAGAGAGTCAATCAAAATTACACCATATCGATTTTGCGTGAATTTTAGCAAACATCCCCTTGTATACGGTGCCAGCTAAAACCAGTCAAAATGGGGGGAAAAAGAAACTCCCAATCAGGCTAAGCTGCTATTGCCTTGCAAAATAATAGATTAAATAAGCACAAGTATACTTCAAATGTTTTGGAGAAACATATTCTATAAATTAATTAAAATTTTCTGCTATAAAACTTTGTAACTCTAGTAAATTGCTTGAAAATCAATTTAAATAAATCCAAGATAAAATTTCGCTATAACTTGAGTAGTTCTACAATAAAAGTAAATCTTACGCGAATTTTTTGAAGGTAAAGATGCCGAAATTGGGCAAAATGTCCATGGCAATAATCAACAAACAGCATCTTCCGCACGCCATACTTTCGGAGAATATGCGAAATGGAGAGGAGAGATATAGCAGAAACGACTGTTTGCGACACAAGGATTTCGAGCTCTAAACTCTTTACCTCGTACTTCTCGCAGTTGGAACAGTACGAGAATTGGATCGAAAGTAGGGGCAAAGCAACGACGAGTAGAACGAAGACGAGCCATGACAAGGCGGTGCCGAGGACAGTGCACTGACGGAAGCCGATGAGTGCGAGGAAGTTTTCAAAAGTTTTCAAGGATTTGTCAAGCTCCGGATCGGACTCAATCGGATGAGGCTCTATCAATGGGACTTGCTTTGATGGCGCCATGCTAAATCTCGGTCGGAAGTTGTGGTTATTTAAAGAAAAAAAAAAGTAAGAAAGTGATAGTGCGTCTGTGTGTGTGTGAAGAGAGAGAAAGCCTGGGATTGGACCGGCCAAATTGGATTTTAAAGTGTAGAGACCGGCAACAGATTTTCTTGTTGATTAAGGTCAAAGAAAATGATGTCTTCAATTCTATTCTAATGTTTGACATTATTCTCGAACTATTTTCAACCAACTTGAATCACTTTTTAATGGCCATGCCTAAAATCGAAGGTGTAGATTGATCTCTAGGGGTTGCAGATTTTATGTAGTTTTCTTCTTGAAAGTCAAGATAAAAGGGTTAAATGTATTATCGATCACTGAACTTTTAACGACCATGTAACAAAATCACTCGTATTTAATTTAGAGCAATCTTGTTAACTAACTTTAATTTACATGCAACCTTTATTACTTCATCCATCGCTATGTCTAACTAACTTGATAAGTTGGCATGGATGTTAAAACTAGCGATTGATAATGTATATGAAGAATGAAATATGATTGATATTTGATAATGTTATATCTACCTTGAACTCTATTGTTTAATAAGGTCATAAAGAGGTCATACTTCGGACCTTTCCTAAAACTCACTTGTGAGCTATGGGTTGTTTGAGCCCTTTTTTTAATTGTTGTGATGAAAAATGTGTGGTTAAAAAATAAGAAAATTTTTGAATTTGCATGTAATATTATTTTATTGAAGTGTTTGAAATGTGGTCAAATTTAAGGTTGGCAACGATTCTGTTCGGCCAAAACTATCACCGACCCACCAATTTTGTTGCCATGTCATAATCGCACCATAACTAAGTAAGTCGAATTTGGTTCGGTTCTTTTCGGTTCATATCCCGATTCGGGTGGTTAATAACCATGAAAATAAATTGTTTTTTATAGGTCAAATCGTCAAATTGAAAAAAAAAAAACAATTTATGAAAAAAAGTCACATATGATGGTTATTAACTAATAGTCGAGTGAATTATATTGGAGTGCTTCAAACAATTTGCATTGTTGATCACTTACCGATGAAAATTATACAAAGAATCGATAGAGGATACATCTGTAAGAAGGCGGTAATTTATGATACCAATGATGATGTCCATGTTATTGATGACAAAATCAAGATGTACACCTTGTGGTGTGCAAGGCGTACACACAGCTTTACACCCCCTTACATGGAGGAGGACCCATGAATATTTTATTGCATGTGAACCCCTCTCCATGTGAGGGGGGTTTAAGCTACAGCACAACCCATTTTATATATCTGTTTTTCATGCTCTATGGATGCAAGGAGCAGAAACAGAGATTTTTCTGTTAATCTATAATTCAAATCTTCCACAAGAAATAAGCTATTATTGATTTAAACAGTTGAAAACCAGCTCATAGCATTTATTATTGGTAATAGAAGTAGTACTCACAATACAGACATGGTGCTAGAATTGGAATAAAACATGTAACAAAGAGAGCCTTAAAACTACTGATTCCCATGGCGTACAAAGATTTCCTCGGATCAGACGAATGTTGGCCCTTGAGTACGCAGACAGATTGGAACTAAGAGCTTAACTACAAGACTCGCCAGTCGAGCAAAATGAAAAATTTAGAGCCTAGAGGATGATCCCTTGGGGTAGTGGTTGACAATATGATTATAGGCATCAAGGGTCAGAAAATCATCCAACATTGGTTTAGTGCATTGCCTGGTAAAAATCTTGCAAGCCTCCTTGTACATTCCTTTCTTAAATTTTTCTTGGCCAACTTCTCTCTCAATCCTAGTCATTTCGTCTTCAACTACTCGCCCGAAGAGCTCAAGAGTCACCTTCACACCAAGGCCATCTCCATCCAATTCAACTCCATATTTCAACCACTGCCAGTTCTGGACTCGGCTTATTTCAGCTGTGGCCGCATCCTCCATGAGGTTGTAAAGGGGAACGGAACCAGTTCCCGTGAGCCATGCTGCCAAGTACTGGATTCCGACCCTGGTGTTGTGACGGAGGCCTTCCATGGTTCGTACTCCTCTTGGCCTCTGAAGGAGGTCTTCTTCAGTCAAGTTAACCGCATCTTCACGCTTCACGGTGTGAATTTGGTTCGCCTTGTTGCCCATGCTGTTGGTGAAGACTTCCATGATGGCCGGGATCAGTCCCGGGTGGGCTGCCCATGTTCCATCATGCCCCGCCTTCACTTCTCTCAATTTGTCCTTCCTTACCAATTCCAAAGCTGCCTCGTTTGCCACTGGGTTGTTCATTTTCAGGTCTGGAACATGTCGAACTTGACCAAGTGTTCTAATAGTTCCATCTTGCAGCTTCAATCTGACTCGACCTATCCCAGCAATACGGCAAAACTGGTTGTTTCCCATGATAACTTTATTTTGCTGTACAGCCTCATATGTCTGAAATAAATTCTTGTCGAAACACATACGATGCGAACACGCCGAATCAAGAATCCACTCCTTCGGCTTAGATTCCACGTCAGATATAGCTAACAAGACCTCTCCGCTATCCGAAAAATCCTCAATTACATTAGTCTCATTCGAAGTACAAGATTGCCCCTCATGATTTGCATGTAAATTACCTTTACCCTGCAACTTGTCGCAATCCTTCATAATGTGTCCTTTCCTCTTATAGTAAAAACAAAATTGATTATTGGTCCTCACCTTCGATCTATCCCTCCATCGATCGCCATGAGTAACCAGAGCATCTCCACTCCTAGATGTAGGATCTCCAACCAACAACTCCATCTTCTCCTTTGAGAATAGGGCGTCGTATACCTCCTCAATGGACAACGTGTCACGACTATACAATATAGTATCACGAAACGACGAAAAAGAATTGGGTAGCGAACACAACAGGATCAAAGCCAGATCCTCTTCATCATGCTTTACCTCCAACGTCTCCAAATTTGCAACGATCTCCTTGAACACAGCAAGATGGTCATGCAGTGATCCTCCTTCCGCTATGCAATGGGAATACAACTTCTGCTTTAAAGTCAGTTTGCTAGTTAGACTCATTGTCATGCACAACTGCTCCAACTTGAACCACAAAGCAGCCGCTGTCTTCTCCTTCAAGATATCCTGGAGAATATTGTTGGATATGTGAAGATGAATATGCGTTAAAGCCTTCCGATCCCTCCGTTGTTTCTCCTCCAAAGACCAATTTACTGGCATCTTCTCAAAGCCCAGTAAAGCATCATCAAGATCCATCTGCGTCAATACAGCCCTTATCTTTACTTGTCACAGTGAAAACCTTGTATTACGATCTAGCAGCGGAATATCAAACTTCAATGAATTCATCCTTGAAAAAATCTCAACCAAATCATGAAGAACCCGCGACCTTGCTCTAATACCACTTTGTTGGGACCGATAACCAATTATACAGGAATTGAGATTTAATGAATTACACAGTTGAAGTAATAAAACAAGATCACAAAGTAACTAAGAATAAGATTAAAGTAAGAAATAACAAAAAGGGACCAGCAGATGAACGATGTCATTTTATTCAATCAATGAAAGGAGAGAATTACAGCAATTGACTTCAACAATACTGAAAGAGGAAACTCATATTTATACCACATGAGTCTAGCGCTAAAAGAGTCCTAAAATGTATAAATTTTATGTTAAACATGAAAAAAAAAGAGAGAAAAAGAGGTAGCGTGATTCTGTTCAATTTCGTTCCAATTGAATGCAGTTTGATCTTTCCACTCCAATAATATTTCTTTCCTTAATTTCACTCGGATTTGGTACCAATTTATTCCCTTTCCTTTTGTCTGCCACTTTGATTCCTTTTGCAATTTTAATTCCAACACGCAATCAAAGACTCCCAATCCAATTGAAAGTCACAAATCTAACAAGAATAAGTTTTTTGAAATTGAAATTGTAGATTGAGTTCGTTTTAATAGCAATTTACGTATAATATTATTTTATTGAAGAATATTTGGTTAAAAAGAAGAAGAAAAAGAAGTAGAAGAAATTGTTATCATCATCATGTGACTCACGAAAATATGTCTCACTTCAAATTTTTAAATATAGTCCAAATTATGTATGAAAATTAAGTGATTATTTCTCGAAGATTTAGACCGTTTTCGTTATTGTTTTCAAATGTAATGAATGTTTTAGACCAATTTACCTCTTTTTGAAACCTAAAGACCAACTTACTATACTAACAATAAATTAAAAACTAATTGATGTAATTTTCCCTTTTAAGTAGATAAGCAATAATATTAATTTTTTTAATAACTAGTGTTGCATCTTTCTTTACACACATCAAAAATAAAGGAAGCAATTTGAATATGTCTTTGTGGATCAACAGGTATCAAGTAGTGCAAGATGCGAGTCCTTCTTAAGTGAAGATAACTTGGAGTCAGATTACTTGATTCTTATTCGATTTGTCACGGTTAAATTAACATTTAACACATAGCTCATGTTGTCTTTTTTAATATGTCAAAATAATTGTTGACCCGATGACCCGATGATTTTTTTGGGTTGACGTTCAGGTCGGATTTAAAACTGTGATCTTTTTATTTTTTTGGATGTAATTGCAAGATTCAGCCTAATTTTCCCTCTTATGTAGCTTAATTTGTGATTATTGAACAACACATTGGCTAAATACAGATGTCCAATAAACATAAGTAAAATAAGTTTACCTGAGAAGAAGCTTTGTGCTGTGCATATTTCCATAGCATCTTGGAGAGCAAGTGAAAGTCCATCAAATTTCAAGACCTAACAACGCTTTTTATCTGTCAAGAAACCGAACATTAGCCAGAATTTGCAAAAGAAACCAATATGGCTATAGAAAACACAACTGAACTTGCAAATGTGCAAGCAAAATACGAGGCCAGGGGACCTTTGCACATCAACAAGAGGCCATTTTACTCTATAAAGTTGGATTAGCATTACAATAACATTTATACAGATCAGTCTTACATAAAATCCTGTCTGAATATGTTAATTAAGAACATCAGTTGGTACTCGTTGGCTTTAAGCGAAGCCATAAACTGATAAACACAACAATACACGATTATTAATATTGATCACACTATTTTAGCTGCCCCCATTCAAATAGAGGGGGTTGGGGCGGGTGTATTGTGTCATCTTGTTGTGATTGTGATAGTCTTCCCGAGGACGAAGAAAACTAGTGAAAGCTCGATGAAGAAAATCGTAGTAATGTGCATACGATCAATCATCCATCCAAAGATAGTGAATCCACCAGTATTCGACTGCACATAGGTAACTACAAACCAAGAAAATTTGAGTAAGCCTCTGTTAAAGATAAACATTTAACATATAATAGTTCAACAGATAATTAAAAATTTTAAGGAAAACAAACGCAGCAAAAATCAGCTAGGACTAAAGCACTTGTGCCCTTGAACCAAGATATGTCAAAACTGAAACCACTGAACATCCTATCCGGAAAAAAAATCAGATAGATACCAATTCTAGGACTGTCGAGGTTTAAGAAGTTGTCAGACGAGACATGCATATGCTAACTTCGAGATCGTGTCGAGTTAGAACCACAAATATTGATTATAGTTGCTCGAGACTGGAAACAAGTTCTAGTGAAGAAAACAAAATACAATAACGATAATTATGTAACAAATAGGTATGCGCACCAAAGGCTTGTCTCTTCTGATATGATGACATGGAAGCTGTCAACTGCAAATTCATGGACAATTGCGCGTAATCACCAGACTCTAAATCACTTTCTGAATAATGCATAGATAATGGACGCACGGGATATGGAACATCAGAATTTCCACCACTATCTGAAACAGCTGAAAAGGAACCATCATTTGATTTGCAAGTAATCAATGCATGCCATCTACTAGCAATTGAACCAAGGCCTTGAGCTCTATGAGATATCTTTCCAGCTGCATTTAGACAGAGCAGAATCCCGACAAGCTGAACAATAGATAACACCTGCATATAGAGTAAATAGCATTTGAAGTTCTTATATGATAGATCAATAATTTGACAGACTGATGTTCATCCAAATTATTGTTGAAAATCTTGCGGATTGCTACATTTCTATCTACTATGGATAATTTTTCATAGCCATGTGGGCTAAGAAGCTAGAAAAAATCAAACAAATTCTCATCTTTAACCATATAAAAACAGTTGGTAATTACATTAAGTTTAGTCCACTCTCTAAGACCTTAAAGCCTTTACACAGGGTAATTCAACATGATACAAGAGTGAGCAAAAGTCCTAAGTTCAATTCTAGTTGTCACCCATTTATGAATATTGTGTGCAACTATTAGCCAATTGAAGGAAAAATGAATTTTTCTTGTATGTGAGGGGGCGTGTTTAAGACATAATTTAGATACATAAATGCAACCCCTGTCCATCAATTTAAGTTTATAGATGAAGTGATACAACAAATATTAAAGATTTCAGAAATCTAGTGAAGTAAACTAGTTTTTTCTACTCTTTCCACTCTTCCACATAATATACTTTCTTATCTTAGAGGGAGGAAAATGTATGATAATACTCTGTATTAACAATCTATCTGAGAAAGTAACCAGAGACGTACTGCAAAATCACCTCCATTGATGAAGTTTATGATCCCAAGGTTCCCTAATGTCTGCAATAGAGCAAAAAACTGACTAACTGTGACAACCAAGAATTCTAAAAGAAGAAATACCCGAAACCTGTGGCTTATTTTGGATAAATAAGAGGTTAAACGTATGTGCTCTTCGATGTAAACTGAAACATCCAAATCCCGTTCCAGTAGTTTCCCATAATTTTCGAAGTGGATCACTAGCAAATTGCCCACCAAGTGGAACAGGGCACAACCAGCTAAGAAGACTAGAGTCACATATGTATACGATACAATGCAAGCAAGCAACATCAAAGCCGAGCGCCACCAAGAATCATGGTGTAAATATACTGCACGAGTAATCTCACGAGCCACCTTTAATATAAGGCAAATAAAGACCCACGAAGCCAGTAAGCGGTAAAATGCCTGAAAAACAATCAGGAAAGTTAGATAAACTTCGGTCATAGTTTATAAAGCTAAACATGAGTAAATTTTTCAGCAAGGGATTGCCCAAAAACATGACAAGAAAAGTTACTCAACACCTCCAAATTGTACAGGTAACAGGACACAGCTAGAATTATCACGGGAAAAATCATTTGATGTCGTTTATATTTGTACCATTCAGTAGATTTAAAACTCGACGTTGAACTTCTGATTTAGTTTTGCAGCCTGTTATTGTAGAAAAAATATACTCAGATACATGAGAAAGAAATACTCTTTTATTATTATTTAGGGAGAGAAAAAAGGGGGGAAAAAAAGAAAAGAAAAGAAACAAAGGTACAATATGAAAATCTATTTAAAGAAAACCATTATGATAGGCATTTGGTTCCCCATGTGTACATCTCTCGGCAAGTAGTCTTCAATCTTTATGTCTCGAAAAAGCAAGAAACATAAAGAATGCTTCAAACACGAAAGTAAACGAATCCTTCAAAGAGAATCTGATACAAGAACCAGAACTATGAATAAGAAAACGACAGTTCCATCATCTACCAGAGCTGAATTTTAGTATCTTTAAATGTATTGAAAAAGTAAGAAACGTAAAGTATGCTTTCAAACACAAAAGTAAACGAATCCTTCTAGGAGAATCTGATACAAGAACCAGAACTATGGATAAGAAAATAGTAGTTCCATCATCTAACAGAGCTAAATTTCAGTAACAACTCCTGATGCAAGGCTTCACTAGTCACTAAAACACTTAAGGGCCTGCTTGGGCGAAGAGTTTCGCCGTACCGGTTATGAGCGTTTTTAAATTACCGCTTTTGAGCGTTTTTAAGCCAATCGGTTTTGAGGGGTTTTGGCAGCGGTTTACAAAACTGTACAACCTGGACATTTTATTATCCACCGATTCTGAAAAAATTTTAAAAGTATAAAATTACACATGTCTCTAGGTAAAATTTTCAATTTATAGTTTAAACTATTTTCCTCATGAGTGATATTTTACTTGTAGATAATTTTTTTTTACATATAAGTTAATATTTTTATAAGTGAATTTTCATTTTATTAGCAGTATTTTTATTTATAAAAAAGTTTTTTGACATAAAAGTGATTTTTTACTTATTACAAATCTTTAATTATAATGTAATTTTTCTTTCTTACAAATAATATTTTATTTATAAATATTTTTTAATTATTATTTAATTTTGTACTTATAAATAATTTTTGTTTACAAGTTATAGTTTTGTAGAAAATATGTTGATCGGAAATAATTATTTTATAAAAGGTAAAACTAGGAAGAAAATATGAGAAATGATCAAAACCCATCGGTCAAACTACCGATGGGTTTGAGAGAGTCAAACAAAATTACACCATATCGATTTTGGGTGAATTTTAGCAAAGATCCCCTTGTATACGGTGCCAGCTAAAACCAGTCAAAATGGGGGGAAAAAGAAACTCCCAATCAGGCTAAGCTGCTATTGCCTTGCAAAATAATAGATTAAATAAGCACAAGTATACTTCAAATGTTTTGGAGAAACATATTCTATAAATTAATTAAAATTTTCTGCTATAAAACTTTGTAACTCTAGTAAATTGCTTGAAAATCAATTTAAATAAATCCAAGATAAAATTTCGCTATAACTTGAGTAGTTCTACAATAAAAGTAAATCTTACGCGAATTTTTTGAAGGTAAAGATGCCGAAATTGGGCAAAATGTCCATGGCAATAATCAACAAACAGCATCTTCCGCACGCCATACTTTCGGAGAATATGCGAAATGGAGAGGAGAGATATAGCAGAAACGACTGTTTGCGACACAAGGATTTCGAGCTCTAAACTCTTTACCTCGTACTTCTCGCAGTTGGAACAGTACGAGAATTGGATCGAAAGTAGGGGCAAAGCAACGACGAGTAGAACGAAGACGAGCCATGACAAGGCGGTGCCGAGGACAGTGCACTGGCGGAAGCCGATGAGTGCGAGGAAGTTTTCAAAAGTTTTCAAAGATTTTTCAAGCTGTGGATCGGACTCGATCAGATGAGGCTCTATCAATGGGACTTGCTTTGATGGCGCCATGCTGAATCTCGGTCGGAAGCTGTGGTTATTTAAAGGAAAAAAAAGTAAGAAAGTGATAGTGCGTCTGTGTGTGTGTGTGAAGAGAGAGAAAGCCTGGGATTGGACCGGCCAAATTGGATTTTAAAGTGTAGAGACCGGCAACAGATTTTCTTGTGGATTAAGGTCAAAGAAAATGATGTCTTCAATTCTATTCTAATGTTTGACATTATTCTCGCACTATTTTCAACCAACTTGAATCACTTTTTAATGGTCATGCCTAAAATCGAAGGTGTAGATTGATCTCTAGGGGTTGCAGGTTTTATGTAGTTTTCTCCTTGAAAGTCAAGATAAAAAGGTTAAATGTATTGTCGATCACTGAACTTTTAACGAATATGTAACACAATCACTCGTATTTAATTTAGAGCAATCTTGTTAACTAGCTTTAATTTACATGAAACCTTTATTACTTTGTCTATCACTATGTCTAACTAACTTGATAAGTTGGCATGGATGTTAAAACTAGCGATTGATAATGTATATGAAGAATGAAATATGATTGATATTTGATAATGTTATATCTACCTTGAACTCTATTGTTTAATAAGGTCATAAAGAGGTCATACTTCGGACCTTTCCTAAAACTCACTTGTGAGCTATGGGTTGTTTGAGCCCTTTTTTTAATTGTTGTGATGAAAAATGTGTGGTTAAAAAATAAGAAAATTTTTGAATTTGCATGTAATATTATTTTATTGAAGTGTTTGAAATGTGGTCAAATTTAAGGTTGGCAACGATTCTGTTCGGCCAAAACTATCACCGACCCACCAATTTTGTTGCCATGTCATAATCGCACCATAACTAAGTAAGTCGAATTTGGTTCGGTTCTTTTCGGTTCATATCCCGATTCGGGTGGTTAATAACCATGAAAATAAATTGTTTTTTATAGGTCAAATCGTCAAATTGAAAAAAAAAAAAACAATTTATGAAAAAAAGTCACATATGATGGTTATTAACTAATAGTCGAGTGAATTATATTGGAGTGCTTCAAACAATTTGCATTGTTGATCACTTACCGATGAAAATTATACAAAGAATCGATAGAGGATACATCTGTAAGAAGGCGGTAATTTATGATACCAATGATGATGTCCATGTTATTGATGACAAAATCAAGACAGGCAAAGACTATGTATACTTAATTTCAAGTCAATCCAAATGCCTAAAACTAATCAAATGATCAAATTTGCCATAAGAGAATTGTTGGGACCGATGACCAATTATGCAGGAATTGAGATTTAATGAATTACACAATTGAAGTAATAAAACAAGATCACAAAGTAACCAAGAACAAGATTAAAGTAAAGAAATAACAAAAAGGGACTAGCAGATGAACGATATTATTTTATTCAATCAATGAAAGGAAAGAATTACAACAATTGGCTTCAACAGTACTGAAAGAGGAGACTCATATTTATACCACATGAGTCTAGCGCTAAAAGAGATGGATCTCCCCCTGGCATTTGAACACAATGCAACTACTGAATTTGGTGGCAAAGCAGAATCACCAACGGTTTCCTTAACAATGTTCTAAACTGATCCAGAACCCAACACAAGAAGTACTGTACCAAACTGAATGTCCACCACGGTACTGAACTTGCCCGAATGTCTCCTAACTGGTTCTGCGCTCCCCTGCAAGATGTACAATTTGGACTTTCTCCGTCCTTCCAGTACAACCCGAACACCTCTTGGAACCTTCAAGACTCCACCTGCACCAGAGAATTTATACCCTTTTTCGTCCAGGGAACTTAGCGAGATAAAATTCATTTTCAGGTCTGGAACATGTCGAACTTGACCAAGTGTTCTAATAGTTCCATCTTGCAGCTTCAATCTGACTCGACCTATCCCAGCAATACGGCAAAACTGGTTGTTTCCCATGATAACTTTATTTTGCTGTACAGCCTCATATGTCCGAAATAAATTCTTGTCGAAACACATACGATGCGAACACGCCGAATCAAGAATCCACTCCTTCGGCTTAGATTCCACGTCAGATATAGCTAACAAGACCTCTCCGCTATCCGATAAATCCTCAATTACATTAGTCTCATTCGAAGTACAAGATTGCCCCTCATGATTTGCATGTAAATTACCTTTACCCTGCAACTTGTCGCAATCCTTCATAATGTGTCCTTTCCTCTTATAGTAAAAACAAAATTGATTATTGGTCCTCACCTTCGATCTATCCCTCCATCGATCGTCATGAGTAACCAAAGCATCTCCACTCCTAGATGTAGGATCTCCAACCAACAACTCCATCTTCTCCTTTGAGAATAGGGCGTCGTATACCTTCTCAATGGACAACGTGTCACGACTATACAATATAGTATCACGAAACGACGAAAAAGAATTGGGTAGCGAACACAACAGGATCAAAGCCAGATCCTCTTCATCATGCTTTACCTCCAACGTCTCCAAATTTGCAACGATCTCCTTGAACACAGCAAGATGGTCATGCAGTGATCCTCCTTCCGCTATGCAATGGGAATACAACTTCTGCTTTAAAGTCAGTTTGCTAGTTAGACTCATTGTCATGCACAACTGCTCCAACTTGAACCACAAAGCAGCCGCTGTCTTCTCCTTCAAGATATCCTGCAGAATATTGTTGGATATGTGAAGATGAATATGCGTTAAAGCCTTCCGATCCCTCCGTTGTTTCTCCTCCAAAGACCAATTTACTGGCATCTTCTCAAAGCCCAGTAAAGCATCATCAAGATCCATCTGCGTCAATAAAGCCCTTATCTTTACTTGTCACAGTGAAAACCTTGTATTACGATCTAGCAACGGAATATCAAACTTCAATGAATTCATCCTTGAAAAAATCTCAACCAAATCATGAAGAACCCGCGACCTTGCTCTAATACCACTTTGTTGGGACCGATAACCAATTATACAGGAATTGAGATTTAATGAATTACACAGTTGAAGTAATAAAACAAGATCACAAAGTAACTAAGAATAAGATTAAAGTAAGAAATAACAAAAAGGGACCAGCAGATGAACGATGTCATTTTATTCAATCAATGAAAGGAGAGAATTACAGCAATTGACTTCAACAATACTGAAAGAGGAAACTCATATTTATACCACATGAGTCTAGCGCTAAAAGAGTCCTAAAATGTAGAAATTTTAGGTTAAACTTGAAAAAAAAAGAGAGAAAAAGAGGTAGCGTGATTCTGTTCAATTTCGTTCCAATTGAATGCAGTTTGATCTTTCCACTCCAATAATATTTCTTTCCTTAATTTCACTCGGATTTGGTACCAATTTATTCCCTTTCCTTTTGTCTGCCACTTTGATTCCTTTTGCAATTTTAATTCCAACACGCAATCAAAGACTCCCAATCCAATTGAAAGTCACAAATCTAACAAGAATAAGTTTTTTGAAATTGAAATTGTAGATTGAGTTCGTTTTAATAGCGAGTGAGTTGATGACCATCATGTGTGACTGCAAAGGAAAAAAAAATCTTGTGGAGTTTGCAAAATTAGATATTTTTTTATACATGTTTTGCATTGGATTACTATTTAAACGGAAAAAAATAAATTCAACGGGTAATCGGTTCAATTCGGGACGACGGCGTAAATACTATACTCGCACCGCCACGAATCAGGTCATTAAAATCAAATATCATATCCACCTCATTGCACTATCGGTTCGTTTTTTTCACCACTTTTTTTCAGTTAATCGCAGTTTCGATTTTAATGGTTCAAATTGTCATCCCTAGTCAAATTACTGTTCAAAAATGAATTTTGATGAGGAAAATGGGTCTCAAACAAGTCATTAGCTTCAAACTCATTTTTAACCACCAATTTTTTGGAATTTACAATTTTTAGCAACTTTTCTACATTTTACCAACTTTTATTAAAATGTAATAAAAATATGATTTCAACTGGACCAAGACAAGCATAACGTGTGTGTGTGTGTGTGTGTTTTCCTTTAATATTTTAAGAAGTTTTTTTTTAAGGTGGGTCATGTAGACATACATTCTCTCTCCGTTAATTTAATGTTGACATTAGCGTATCACTTTGAAAGTGAGGTGACGAATAAAGTCACTAGGGTTAGGTGCAAATTAAAATTGAGGGACATAATTGTTTAAAATTAAAGATTAATGACCTAATTGCTCGTTCTTTAAAAGTTCAGTAACTCACGTTGCATTAACCCAATCATTCGTTCTCAATAAAAAGATTGATTATGAATTTCGAGGAACTTTATTCAAATTTTTGACTTACTATTATGAATTTCGTGAAAACTTTATGAAAATTTGTCCCTAGGAGACTAGTAAAAGGAGTTTTATTTAGAAGAATCAACAGAATACGTATACAGCTCACATTTGGGCATTATTTTTTCATTATATTATAAAATAATTTTTTACATAAATTTAAATTTTTTTCTTTTCCGAATCATTAATTCTCAAAAAATTACTATTTTTAAATATATTTTCCTAAAAAATGAGGTAAAAAATATAGCAAATGTGTACATGCATATCAAAAAGAATTAAGAATGAGGTTAAGTTCAATTTGAGCACAGACAAAAAAACAAAAACCTTATATTCATATTTTCCACGAAAATTAAATTGGAAAAATAGAAGTTATCAAGTAAAAACTCCTTAATATGAATTATAAAATTTTAGATATTTAACCAATTACTTTTTTATATTTTTGTTAGGTCTTGAAGGATTTTAAACAAAAATTTTATCTTATGCAAAATTATTATTTATATATTGATCCGACTTGAGACTAAAAAAATTTATTATTTAAACCAGAATTTACCGTAATTTAAAAGTTAACTTGACTATCTATCAAAATCCAATAGTATCGTTGCTTCAAAATCTGGCTCTTGAAGCTCAATCACATCAATTACTGCCGACTAAAAATAGTGCAAAACAATTATGCGTCACTCATAGGCCACGTGTTTGTAGAAGACGGGTTGAAAGCTTTTTATCAAAGTTGGTAGTCATTTTACCGACCCCTCACTGTAGGGGC